TTCTAAGCTATCTTTCTGGAAATGCCCATCAGGCAGTTAAATATAGAAAGATGAAATTAATGACAGAGGTTAAAGCTAGAGATCCTAGTAAATTAAGTCTCAGATTCATAAAAGCTAACACATATACGAAAACACTGGGACTGGAGCAAGAAAGCAAAGTAGTGAAGGTTCTTAATTACTTCCCCAGTAGCTAACCCACTGCACAACAAATAAAAACAAATACAGACCGAGATCTATCAACTCTAGACAGCAGATGAGATGTTAAAGAGTTTAAGTGAGTCCAGAAACACAGGAAAGGAGGTACAGGGATGACACAAAAGCTTGGAGAACTTACCCACTAACATCATTTTGGTATTCTCTGCTTTCAGCCAAGATCCAACTGACATCAGCAATTATATCCCTCATTCCAAGTCCTCATCTGAATCCAGCTTGAACCTCTGGCTGTTCCCTGTCAATAAGCTGTTGCAGAAATTTTTGAATGATCTTGAGGAAAATTTTACTAGCATGCAATATTAATTATATTGTCCAATGATTTCCATATTCCTGTGGGTCATGTCTCTTTGGAATAGGCACAAATATGGAGCTCTTTCAATCACTTGGCCAGGTACCAAATTTCTTGGCACGGCTAAGTGAATGCTTCCAGTGCCGCATCAATTTGTTGCAAGATTTCAATTTGTATTCCACCAATTTCCAGAAACTTGTTCTTTGCCAATGCCTTCAGTGCACCTTGGACTTCTCCTTCAGTACCATTGGCTCTCGAACATATGCCGCCTCTTGAAGCAGTTGAACAAAGACCATTTCTTTTTGGTACAGTGACTTTGTATATTCCTTCCATCTTCTTTTGGTACTTTCTGCATTTTGCCCAAAGAATCATTCAGTATTTCAAGAGGAGTCTTGAATTGTTTTCTCAGTTCTTCCAGCTTGAGAAATGCTGATGTTTTCTTTCTTTTTGGTTTTCTAACTCTAGATCTTTGTGTGCATTTCATGATAATATTTGACTTTGTCATCTCCAGCTGACCTTCGAAACTTTCTGTTCAGCTATTTTACCTCCTCATTTCTTCCATTTGTTTTAGCATCTCTATGCTGGAGAGCAAGTTTCAGAGTCTCTTCTGACATCCATTTTGGTCTTTTCTTTCTTTCTTTCTTTCTTGTCTTGCTTTCTTTTTATGACTTTTTGCTTTCTTCCTGTATGATATTCTTTATGTCATCCCACAACTCTTCTGGTTTTCAGTCATTAGTGTCTAATTCATCAAATCTCTTCTTTAGATGATATCTAAATTCTGGTGGGATATATTCAAGATCATATTTTGGCACTTGTAGACTTGTTTTAATTTCCTTCAGTCTCAGCCTGTACTTGCATATGAACAATTGATGGTCTGTTCCACAGTTGTCTCTGGCCTTGTTTTGACTGATGATATGGAACTTTTCCACTGTATTTTTCCACAGATGTAGTCAATTTGATTTTTGTGTGTTCCATCTGGTGAAGTCCATGTGTATAGAGTCGTCTTTTATATTGTTTTAGAAAGGTATTTTCAATGAATAAGTCATTGGTCTTGCAAAATTCTATCATGCAATTTCCAGTATCATTTTTATTACCAAGGCCATGTTTTCCAATGACTGATGTTTCCTTTTGTTTCCAACATTTGCATTTCAATTACCAGTAATTAGCAATACATCTTGATTGCATGTTTGATCAATTTCAGACTTAAGTTGTTAGAACTCCTCAATTTCATCATCACTGGCTCTAGTGATTGGTGAATAAATTTGAATAATAGTGGTATTACCTGGTCTTCCTTCTAGGTATGGATATTACCATATCACAGACAGCATTATACTTCAAGATAGATCTTAAAATATTCTTTTTGATGATGAATGCAATGTCATTCCTCTTTAGTTTGTCATTTCCGGCATAGTAAATCATGTGATTGTTTGATTCAAAATGACCAATACCACACCATTTCAGTTTACAAATGCCTAGGATATCAATGTTTATGTTTTCCATTTCATTTTTGACAACTTTCATTATCCCAAGATTCATAATTTGTATATTCCATGTTTAACTATTAAAGGATGTTTACAGATGTTTCTCTTCATTTTCAGTTGTGCCCCATCAACAAATTAACTTCCCAAAAGCTTTACTCTAATCCTGTCATCACGATCGATTCTATTTTGAGGAGGCAACTCTTTCTAGTCATTATTTTCAGTGCCTTCAAATCTGAGGGGCTCATCTTCCAGCCCTGTATCTGACAATATTCTGGTGCTAATCATCATGTTCTAATATTCAACATTCTGATAGCATCTGACAGTGTTTCATTGCTATTAATTGGTTTACAGTGTCCAAATATTTGGAAGCAGTCCACCTCTCCATGCTCGGAGTCTGTCTTAGTCTGTAAGCTCAGGTATAATCTGCCCTCCATGGGTGGCCTTTCATCATTTAAAATACCGGCAGCATAGCTTCCAGCATCACAGCAACATGCAGGCCACTACAATGCAACACACTGGTAGACTAGTGGTGTACAGACAATATATATACATATATGCTATATATAGGAGCTCTAGTAGTGTAGTGGTTACAAACCTGGCTTCTAACCTCAGGGACATCAGTTCCAAACTACTAGCTGTTCCAAGGGAGAAAGATGAGACTTTCTGCTCCTGTGAAGATTTACAGCCTCAGAAACCCTGTGCAGGTTTGCTATGAGTCGGAATACACTCGACAGCACTTAACACAACATAATGCAACTCCATTCCTCTTCAATTTGTCATTGCCGGCATAGTAAACCATGTGGTTGTCAGATTCAAAATGGCCAATACCAGTCAATTTCAGCTCACTAATGCTTAAGATATAAATGTTTATGCATTCCATTTCATTTTTGACAACTTTCAATTTTCCCATGTTCATACTTATACATTCCATGTCTGATTTTCAATGGATGTTTACAGCTGTTTCTCTTCATTTTGAGTTGTGCCCCATCAGCAAATGAAGGTCCTGTGGGCTTTACTCCCACAGGCTTTACTCCATTTGTGTCATCCCAGTCAACTCTACTTTGAGGAGGCATCTCTTCCCCAGTTGCATTTTGAGTGCCTTCCAACCTGAGGGGCTCATTTTCTGGCACTATATCTAACAGTGTTTCTCTGCTATTCATAACGTTTTCAGTGACTAAATATTCAGAAGTAGTTTGTCACTCCTTTCTAGTCTGTCTTTGTCTGGAAGTTTATCTGAAACCTGTCCACCATAGGTGACCCTGCTGGTATTTAAAATACTGGTGGCATAGCTTCTAGAATTACAGCAACTCACAAGCCACCACAGTAGGACAAACTAACAGAGGAATGGTGTGAGTTAAACATACTAACATTTCTTTGCTATATGGAATCCTTTATTCTTAGAGTCAGCAGTAGAAAAAATTTGAGAATATTCTAATCATACAGAAATCATCTATTCCTGCTGCCTCTCTGAAAAGCCACCAGTGACATAAAAAAAAAGATTTTGTATTGACAAGAGAGACTGATGATTAGATTCTTAAGGGGGCACTGAGCACCTCCTGTTATGAGAAAATCACCCATTGCCCATGTCTCTGGGCCTCAGATGTTTCCATTTTCATTCAAAATCTCCCACTTCTGTTTCTCCTTGAGCAGCTCTGAAAAGGAAATATCTAGATGTGTTCCTGGTCATAACTTAGGATAAAAGCTAAAGTAAATCAATTTTTAGCCAGTTCTCTCTTCTTTAAAAAATGGAAAAATGAGCATGGCCTCAAAGTTTCAAAGAGTTTGCTTTATCAGTTCCAAGGGTTCCAATGAAAGCAAGCAGAGATAAGGGTCTGAGTATTAAAATAAACCAACACGTGTTTAATTTTTCTTGTAAGTCCCTCCTGCATGGATTTACTAACACATAGAGGTTTTATTTATTCAGGGAGTCTTTGGGTTGTGAAAATGGCTAGCTTGTTCAGCTGTTAACCAAAAGACAGGAGGTTTGAGTTCATGCAGAGGCACCTTAGAAGAAAGACTTGGTGATCTACTGTTTAAAAATTAATCACTGAAAACTCTATGAAGCACAGTCTACTCTTAAGCACATGGGGGCACCCTGAGTCAGAGTTGACTTGACAGTAACTGTTTACTGGTATTTATTTATTTAGAAGACGTTTGGGTATCTACCAATCTACTACAGGCAGTGAGAGGAATATAAAATGACTCTCAAAACCTGAACATCAACTTTCCCATCGTACCTCTCTCCCTCCATCTAACCCTATTGTGGAGGAATATTCTGAAAGGTTTCCACTGTAGCATTGTGATAAGGAAGAACTAAGTCCATTGTTCCCTTTAGTATACAACTCCCCAGAGTACATGGTTTCCAAGTTGCTCTCTTCTTTTGACATGGCAATTACTCTGAGCCCATAATAACTGGAATATATAGAGGACAAGTCATTCCAACAAATCCCACAGACCTTGCTCACCACCAAAAACTTTCTCTAAACAAGTAAAATATTAAATAATCCCTTGTTCGGTCCTATAAAACAATGACTGAATCTGTCCTCAATGTTCAGAAAAGATAATCAGACCCTGACCAACATAGGAAGATTCATAGACAGTAAAAAAAAAAAAAAACCTTTCAAATAAAGAACTCTGTTGAGACATATATTTGAAATGCCAACTAATGCAGGTTTATTGAAAAATATATAGTGAAACAAGCCTCCTTTTTCAGAGACAACAAAAGCAGAAGCCAGAAGGCACAGGAGCAAGATGAAAACATGCCCAAACCATCAAAGACTTAGGCGTGGATGATAAGTTTCTGGAAATGTCCAGAGGTATATACAGTACCAGGGATCAACCCTTAAAATAGGCTTATCACTGGCCAGAAAAGTCTTAGATTGCCAAAGACAATGTGTGGATGGCTAGCAGCCAGCAATCAGGCAGTGGGAGAAGGGTCAGCAGGCAGCAAGCTGGAAGATCCTGGAAACACAGCTGGCAGGTCATGTATTCTTCATTCGTTCATGGCTCCTACATACTTAGCAAGTTCTTCGGCAAGTAGACACATAGGACCTCTGGTACCTACTGGAGACCCCACACGCTGGTTGGCACACAGTGGAGATTCCTCCCATTGGGTGACATACACTGGAAGCTCCTCCCATTGATTGGCACACACTGGAGACTCCTCCCCCTGGTTGACACACAGTGGAGATACCACCCACAGGTTGGCAGACACCGGAGATGCCTCCCAGGGGCTTACAACCACTGGAGACAAAGGTGAGTGGCCGGCTGCAGGGAGTTGAGCAGGGATTGGAGACACAGGTTGTTTGACGAGAGCTAGTCACCTGGCTAGGGACGGAGACACAAGAAGTTCGCTGGAAACAACTTGGCTGGCAAGCAGTGGGCTCACAGAAGGTCTCCTGACAGTGGTCCAGGAGCCAGGACCCGGTTTGGAAGGAACTGGGCAAATGAATGCCACTCAGGCCTTCAGCATCTCCAGACGTAGCCATGCCAACTGAGGCCATGGGGACTGTGCAGCGTCCTCCAGTTGGCCTGGAAGAACAGTTCCTTGTGGAGCAGTTGTAGGACATGGTGCCAGTCAAAGGGATGTGGGTACCTTGCTGAAGCAAGTTCTGAGTTGTGAATGACACCTTAGGCTTCACAGCTTTTATATATCCTTGTTGGTAGGTGGGGCTCCTGCTCTGGATGCCTAGCTTCTGTGGCTCAGACAGCTTGTCTTAGAACATCTTGTGAATCTACAGTTTAATTGTCTATTGAGAAGCTGTTACCCTCATAAAGAAAGTTTAATAGTTTGGTAACTAAACTATAAGTCTTCTGTACTGAACTTATTTGTAGGATTAAGAAGGTTGGCTTATAGCTTCAAAGCTATTGGTCATCCGTGCCCAAACTTCGCCCCTCATTCATCTTGCTTAAATACGATGAGTGTCCATCTGACTATAACACCAAACATACCACCAGCCTACCATCACACACTCTCTCCCTTCTAACTGGGACGATTTACAAGTACACATCCTGTTGAGTTTGTTTTGGCACTTAATACATTTAAAACATAATTTAATCAGTCACTGTTTCATAGCTAACGGGGTTTTTAATAGGAAGGGTATATGCTTCAACATAACAATGACAAAATCTTCCAGAAAAAAAAGGACACAAAGACATGCATCCTGAGTGTGAACTAGCTTTGAAAATTAATCAACTGATCAAAGCAAGATGCCCACAGAAAGGTGTAGGGGACAGTGAGAATCACAGTTTATGTTCAAGCAACAAAGCAAATTAGAAGCTAATTAAGTGTGACTGCATTTGTAGCCAAGTGCCTTTCTAAATAAATTAGATGAGCTTTATTCCTAAAATTTTTAATCTAATAACAATGGATAAGAATGACTCATGGGTCTCATTAATATGCCGGTAGAACAGACTTAGTTAATTTTTTAAAAACTATTAGAATGTTAATTTGAAAGAGTACAATGTCTTCCACCCAAAATGTTCAATACATTCAAAGATATTTATGTACGCACAAATACTTATAGAACGTATGCACTTTAATTATGTACTGACAAACCAAAGACTCTTCAAGGTCATTAGCTCCCCTAGGGATAAAGTTAGGGAAGAATGTGAGAAACAAGCACTTAATGTTTGGTAATCGATTGATGGGCAAAAGGTATACTATAAAACTTAATTATTATTTTTATTATTGGGAAACTGTGATAAAGGATATCACACTCTTAATTCATCTAAACAAAATAGTCTGCTCCTTTTTGTACACTGGTACACAGATGAATCAATCACTTCAACTTGAGCAAAATAATTCAACACTTCTTCAGTGATCGGCAATATGTCTACCTAAAAGCAGCTATAAGATCTGACTCATTTCACAAACTGGTCTACATGAAGAAGGGAGGGGGATGAAAATGCACTTACATATATTTGAGGGCTATAGGTAGATTACATTTCAAACATCCACAAAGCTTCAGAACTCATCAAAAGTCCCCTTGCAAAATACTTCACTCATCTCTATACATTCCACTGAAAACATGTTGGAAATGCCCCAGGTATCTAATTGGAAGCTAATAACACACCAAAAAAGAAGATGCTGGGTTATGAACTGTATAATGAATCTCAGGACCAGAACTCAATATCCGGTATCTTTCTCAATGATTTGCACCAGAAACAAGGTGAAATAAATGAGATGACTACTTTCCACAATGTTGTCACTGTGTTCTTCCCATCTCAGAGAATGCCCCAGTTAGTGTTAGAAGAAGGGCAGAGTCCCCATCACATGGCTGGCTGCTTACTGTAAAGTGATGAGTAGTTTAAAGGCTTCTACCAGCTCAGAATTAGTAAGCTTCTGTGTGTGAAAAAGTACTGATTCATGTAAGGGTCAAAAAAGTGAAGTCAGTAGTAAAGTTACACAGGAGAGCTTTTGGTGATTCTACCATTCAGTTAGAGACTTCACACACAGCATCTCGTCGAACACTTCCAGCAAGATCATGGGCTAGGTATTCTGTAACCTGAAGAAATTGAAGTTCAGAGAGGTTGAGTGGCTCACCAAGGTCTCACAATTTGTACAAGGTAGCTTCAAAAAGTTTGTAGAAAAATGGAATGAAAAGAAGGAATTTTTCCACATACTCTTTTGAAGTTCCCTTATATTTAGCTAAAAAAAAAAAAAAAAGCCAGGCATTATTAGCCTACTTTGTTAATAATGAAATATGTAAGAATGTAAGATACCTTGGAATTCTCTGGGTATCAGAGCTACAAACAGTGAATGGACTTGCTGCTATTCAGAGGTTGAAGGTTCAAGTTCACCCAAAGGTAGCTCATAGGAAAAGCCTGGAAATCCACTTCTGAAAAAACAACCATTGAAAGCACTGTGAAACACAGTTTTACTCTAACATACATGAGGCCATCAAGAGTCAAAACTAATTAAGATACTGGTTAAAAGAAGGACAAAAGTGATTAGGAAATCATATTAAAGAGTAAATCAGTTCCTCATAGGTGGAAATTAAAAAGACATAGTCTTCTCTTTGTCAGGTTAATCAAGTGATTAACAAAAAGCAAAAAGAAAAACAAATGGAATAGTTCCAAGCACTTCAGCTTTGAGAATATTCTGTATATCTTTTGCAATTTTTACTTTATTAAAATAAAATGCAAATTCACTAGATGCCCACCAAGAAGAACAGAGTCATCAATAGCTTGAAGCTATAATTTGAAATTATAATTATATTACAATTATTTAAAATGGTGAAGCGTACCACTTACTAATTGATAGAGAACAGCAAAGGAGTGAATTATTTTTTTTCTGGTCTAGGTGGCAAGCCTGAAAAACATGATTTCCAAACTCTGAAATCATTTTATTATCATATTTCATAAACAGTCAGCTTCCAGCCACTAGCCAATGCCATCTTTTAGTAAAGAAACCTGAGAGAGCTACTCAACTAACTTCTTTGTGTTTTAACACCTACAAAATGGAACATAGCTCTTGAAACATAGCTATGACTAGTAACTTACAAAAAAAGGAGCTCTGGTAGCATAGTGGTTACAAATCGAGCTGCTAATCTCACAGTCAGCATTTCAAAACTACCAGCTATTCTGTGGTAGAAAGATGAGGCTTTCTGCTCCTGTAAAGATTTATAGCCTTGGAAACCCTGTACAGGGTCACTATGAGTCAGAACTGACTCCACGGCACATAACAACAACAGTAACTTACAAGATTCAGGATAGAGAGTAAGGAAGGCTATTTAATATTTTCCTGCATTCTATTTTATAAATACAAACATTTAGACTATTTATTTGGATTAAGAATAAAAACCAGAAACTATCAGCCATTTGAAACTGGAAAAGCATTACCCAATTCTAATTCTACAATGATGTTAGATGAAATCAATAAATCATCCTTTCATTGGTATGTAAGAGAAAATTGATACAGCCAGCAGCTATCACTACATAGCTATGTGAAATATGAAATTCAATTCAGCAGAAAAGGTTTATGAAGATTATTCTCATGTCTACAGAGCATGAAGTGAATGGGAGGGTGTGTTAAGAGACAGAGGAGATTAAAGAACCACCACCCATTATTTCATCACAGATGAATAATTTGTTCTCATTTGTACAGAGCAATCAAACCCTTATACAATAATTATCCCAGACTGGAAATGATCAATTATTTCACTCAAAACAGAATCACTTCCAAGTCCAAGAGCTTGAGAGGAAAATGAGCTAAGCATGTGTGGAGGCTGAATATTTTATATGCAAAAGGGGCATTTTTTATCGCAAAGTTGACAATAATGTTAACCAATACCAGTTTAAAGAAAATGACTTAGACTCATTAGATGGACAAAGAGTGAACTTGATGAGAAATTAATGAATACAAACGGAACCTATGCTATTCTGCACTTTATCAGCATGCTTACACTCTCCAATTAAAGCTATTCTTTACCTTACGAAATTTTTTAAAAAAGTAAATTAAAACGTTCAAGGGCAGAACACAATGGTTGTTTTAAAAATTAAATACATTCTTGGTTAAGTTACCCTGCTTTTCATTTTTTAACTTGACACAGACCTCTGAGTTGAATCTCCAGAGTTCTTATTAACTAAAACACATGCTATGTCCCCCAAAACTGGGTGATTTGAACCATAACACTAAACTGAAATTCATTCTCCAAACTCTGCTTGAAAAGCATCAATCATAATAAGAGCTGAATCATTTAGGCTAGAAGGAACTGAAGGGATGAAAACACAAAGTGAAAGAAGCAAGCAAAGACTAGCAAAAAAATAGTTGCTGTTTTTAGAATCTGAGAACAGTAATCAACAACTTGCAAAAATAATAAACCCTCAGGAGATAGAGATAATATTGAGAAATTCTCCTCTGAACCATTATCCTGCTCTGTGTCTGGCTGTTTTCAAATTCTTCTATTATTTCATGTGTGCTTTTATTGCGGATCAAAACTAAGGTGCTATCAACAAAGGGAGAGTTCTTGGGTGGTGCAAATAGTTAAGCACTTGGCTGCTAACCAAAATGCAACTCAGAAAAGACTTAGAGATCTACTAAAATAAGCCATTGAAAATACTATAGATCACAATTCGACTTTGACACATATGGGAATGTAACAATTCAGAATTGACTTGATGCCAACTGACATCAAAAAGGTGAGTAGAATTGCAGCTTCCTTGGTCACAACAAGTTCTCATGTGGGAAAACCCATATGTAGTTGGGATGTGCTTAAAACTCTTCCTTTTAAGTAATAAGTGGATCCACTTGTGATCATACGTGGTATTGTTTATGTGTAGTGGTGGTAGCTTGCCACCAGGTCAGTACTGACTCATAATGACCCTGTATAGGGTTTCTCAGGCTGTAAATCTTTATGGGAGCAGAAAGTCCCATCTTTCTCCTATGGAGTGACTGAAATATTCAAACTACTGTCTTTCAGTTTGGAAGCCCAGCTCATTGTCCACTATACAGCCAGGACTCCTTATTGTTTATGTATAGTGCTTGTGATTGAAATATATCTCCCCAGAATGTGTTTTGGAATTCTAACTCCTTTGCCTAAAAATACAATCTAACCTAACCTACCAC